ATTTTTAGCGTAAGGATTTTAGAAAAAAGTATCGTCTTATAGTCGGAAAAATACGGTATCTGTTGAGATGATTGAGTACAAATGGTATAACAGATGATCTTCAGAACCTTAATACCAAGTTTCATTGTAAATTGTCCATTGGAAAATGCAAATTTATATGAAATACGCTTGTGTTTATCCAAATTTCTGATTATCTCAGTATTTGGGTGATCATTTCCAAGTACAAGTACGATCTTGAAAAGATTTTTGACATGTGCTTTTTTATTAAAATCAGTAAGCAGAAGATTAAAAATCATGATACATTAAGTTGTATTAGATGATACAAACATTTATTTTTCATAAAAATGCAATAGGAATGCAAATTCCAGCATGCAGACAATGTGAGATATTTATGAACTTAAAAACAGGTTTATTCTGAAAATTGTCATGTGACTGCACATGGACCACTCAGCAATCAAATGGGAATAAGAGAATTAAACACAAATGACAATAAAATTTCTTCTTCCGCTGTTCATTCTTCTATTAACATTTGTTTTTCTTGCACAGCCAGATCCCCATAAGCTCTCAGATCAACGACAGGCAATAAATCGAGGTCAAAACCCTCTTCCTATCTACCTTGCTCTTAATGTCAAGAAAAAATATAGCACTCTAGATTTTAAAGGTAAGATATCATTTTCAAAGGACATGTAACATGAGTTTAATGTGAAGGCTGAATGCCAGGTGGTAAATGTCCATGAAGTTTTACTGGCCAAAAAAGAAGAATAGTAGTGGTTTTCTGTTGACTTCTCTAAGCTGATTTTTGAATCCCCAATCTAGCCTACCGTATTCCCTGGAATCTGTCCCTCTTCTGGGCACTAGCCAAGCATGACACTGCTTAGCTTCCAAGCCCAGACAAGATCACCCAACTGTTCTTATCTTCTTTTTTTCAAATAATTTTATTAAAGATTACAATTAGAAAGAATAAAAACTAATACAAACTACAAAAATATAAAAAGGAAAAAGTGTATAAAAAGGAAAAAGAAAAGAAAAAAGAAAAAAGAAGTGACTTCCCCCTTCAATACAAGTACAAACAATTTTAGTAACGTGTTACCATCTCTTAAGATACAACATATACTCTCTTCACCCCATATCTCATCTCTTAATTAAAAACAAAATCCAAAAGCCTCATCATTTGCTCCTTATCCACAAAAGGGTTACCAGATCTAACTGTCTATCTTAACCTTGATCAAATAAGCCAACTCTGTATTCCTTCCCTCTACTTTTAAAAATCAAGCCCTTCAAATAAAGTCCCAGAGGTTGATTTCTTGTCATCTTTTTTTGGGTCCTTTCTCAAAGAATCTTTCAAAACTTTAACAGACCTCTTTTGTACATCCAGTAAGAGAAGCTTGTCCTTTTTTTTTTTTTTTCTTCTCAAAAGGTTCTTCAAAACTTTAGTAGATCTCATTTGTACATAGGTTATCCATATCTCTTTTCTGATTTAGTAGTTTGTATATCTCCTTTAGGCAATGGAACATCAACTGGTTTCATTATGTCCAATACATCTTTTTCCGTATCCTTCTCATTGCTTGTTACCTTTATATCCACATTCTAATTAATTTCAAACTTGTCCGGAGTAGCTTGTTCTTCTTCTACAACTTCTTTGACACTCCATCCATCTATCATATCAGATAATTTCAAAAAACATTTTTCAAAAATATCCATCAGAACACTCACTATTAGACTATTTTGCCCCATTCTTTATTCAATTATATTATCCTCTAACTTCCTCTAGTGTCCAACCTTCAAAGTCCCATCCTATCATATTTTAATTTAGAGAAACCCAATCAATCAGTTTCCCAGGGGAGAAATTCTTCTAATTAATTAATTAATTGTAATTCCAAGTCCATCTGGGCCCTTAACCCATTGTTAACTTTCCAAAATTCATATTCTAAACACCCTTTTGCCAAAAGTAATATTTTTCCAAATCTTTAAAATCATAGATAAAAATTATTTCTCCAAGGAAAGGCGACTCACCCAGTGCCTGCAATAATACTTACTTTTCTGAAGGGTCTTAATATTTCCAAACCAATAAAAAAACAAATTCAAAGTGATTAAGAAGTATGGCTCAGTCGAGCTTTATGTCCTTAAAAAAGCTGCATTGACGGCTGTGAACATAGATGTTTCCTCATAAGTGGACTGCAAAATATCAATTCCTGTGGTCTACTCACAAGGAGTGGCTATGTGCAGTACATGTGGGCTACCTCAAAGATCTCTCCTTATTCTAGAGAGAATTTTGGTGGCCTGGATCCTGCATCCAGCAGCTAATCTCCGTCATAATGCCATCCCACTCTGAAAGGGAGGTCTACTCACCATGGCTCTCAAACGGAAATCTAAGTGCTCTTATCTTCTGAGGCTAATTTGATTTAGGAAATCACAGAAATATCATGCATAACTATAAACCTATGGCTTTTATATCAAAGTTTAACATGAAACATTCTCTATTAAGTGGTGCTAATAAGCTTCTTTAGTTGTGTTAACAAAGGCAAAATTTAAAAATGCTTAGCAAGTGTAGCCCAGAATAGTCACTCTTGGTGTCCCTTGCAGAAATCATTTGCAGATCTGTGCATCTTAGTCTGAATACACATTCAGACTATACATTAAATTGACTAGAGCCCCAGAACATCAAGAATAATCTAAACACTGAATTTAAGACAGATTATCTAATGATGACAGATTGTGGTGAGTTTTGCTGGAAAATCAAAGATGATACCATTTAGATATGTTGGAGAATAATGAAGAATAATATGCCTAATACATGATAATATAATTGGTCAATGAATAACATGGAAAAACCCAGACCAGTGGAGGTAATCACAGTCTTATACTTGGTATAAGATAGTGGCAAGTCTTTGGGCTGAGTTGTATAGAGACCTCTGCTTCATGGAAATCTGGCTTAGAATCCAGGATAGAGAGGGAACAAGTACATTTTGTATGGATATACTCTTGTGGTTGTTTATTTCTCACTGAACTGAGTTTTTTTCAAATGATCAATAGTCATACCTTGAAAAGGAATTGCATTTGTGTGGTTTTATGTTATATAACTAATTTTTCTCTACTGTATGCATAATCACTTTATTTTTAAAATTGCTGATTATTAGATGATGATGATGATGATGATGATGATGATAATAATAATAATAATAATAATAATAATAATAATAATGTGTGTGTGTGTGTGTTTGTGCTATATCTGCAGAATGGGTGGAATTCACACCATATGAAGTGGGCTTCCTGAAATATGGAGGGTTCATTAATGCAGAAGATTTTGGAAGTGAGTTCTACACGGGTCACTTGATGAAGAAGATTCCAGAATCTCGGCTTTGTTTCATGCAAGGTAATCTAGCTAAACTAATAAAGTGGTGTATACTGCTCCATACATCTTAAATTAGATTCTTAACCTTTCATATGGCAAGAATGTGCTATATGCCCAATTTTCACACATTTCAGATGTACTTATTAACACATAATGCTTATGTAGCTTTCTACTGTTATATTACTGTTATATACACAACCTTGTACAGGTCAATAGCTAATATAACACCTAACAGCTAATATAACATCTATATAACCACTTCCCCGCTGAAGGGGAGGGGGTGTTCTGAGGCCTCTCGCATGAGGTCCAAACCAACAAAGACAAAAAAATAGAAACAAAAACAAAACCCTCTCTAGTATGAGAGAGTGTACTGTAGAAAAAAAGAAGGCATATTTGCATAGCTTCTATTCTTTTTACTGTGATTTCCATCTCAAGATAATGGGGCTAGCATATACTGTACTTATTACTATGATTTCCATCTCAAGATAATGGGGCTAGCATATACTGAAAAATCTAGTCAGCTCTTGTTAAATATTCTGTTTCCAGGCATGTGGAGTAATATCTATTCCCAGAGTATGCTGGATGCTTTATATTTAGCAGAATGTCCAGAAGACTTTTGGCACAAGTGGACAAGACCTAGAATCTATGATATTGGTCAGTAGAATGTTACTTCTCTTTTGGTTAATTTGCCCAGGAAATGCTTCCCTTTGCTGTGGATTTTGGAGATGATTTGGGTTCAAATTAATTAGTTGGAAGTGGAAAGTTTGGGGAAGTGTGGCAACTCCTTATCTTCCCTTCCAATATTACCATATACTATTTTTCCATCCCAATTTTACATGGAAGTATAGTGTATCCCTTTCCAGTCTTTCTCTCTCTCTCTCATTGTGTATAACTTTTTAAAACATCTAATAAACAATTGAAATAAAATACTTGCAAATGACTTGGGTGATGTGCAAATACATTAAAAACATATACAATAGAAAACAAAAAAATAAAAAATCAGAAAACTAAAGTCAAAATAGCAGTGAAACAACATGACTTCTAAAATCAAGTGAAAACCAGCCACAACTTAAAACAAGCAATGTGTTCAAAATAATTTTCAGAACAGGCAAGCTTTGAAAGGGAAATCATTCTCTAGATCAGGGGTCCCCACACTCTTCAGCTCATTGACCCCTTCATGAAGTTTCAGATTGTTCATCAACTACCAAACATTTATTATATGAAAATAATTTAATAAATGCTACTTTAACTACTACTACTACTACTACTACTACCACTACTACTACTACTAATAATAATAATGACAACTCAAGGCTGCTTTCATTGGTGGCTGTCTAGCTGCTAGCTACCACACTTTCAGGACTAGGGACTGGCGTGGAGCTCTACAGAGACCCCAAAAGATTAATTGACCCCCTTTTTACCTCCCAGCCATTTCTTGACCCCTTGGATAAAACCCTCAACCCTTGGGGTTTGATACTGACCACTGTGGGGAACCCTGCTCTAGATGGACTGAAGTCTATATTTCCATAGCTCAGCAATAACAACTTGGTAGCCTTAGGGCAGCTTTGGTGGGTCCCCCAGATAATGGAGAGTTGAAATGATTAAGCAAATGACTGGAAAGAGGTTTGAATGAAATTAAAACATAACTGAAATGTAATTTTTGTCCTGGCCCCATGCAGAACTTTGGGGAGTGTGATACCTGGGACTTCATCTAAAGGCCAATTCCAGCCCTTGGCCTGAACTTGTTACCCTTGTCAGAGAAATGTGTTACAGAGATTAAAACGTTGGACTAGGGTTGGGAGGCTGTGTGGTTGGTATACTAGAAGACCCATCCACATGAGAAAACCTAAGAATATATTTGCTATTATGGAAATGATTATTTTTCTACAAAAGCAAAATCTGGTAAAATTGCAGGTATTGAACCTGATCTTTTAAGTAGCATTCAGTTTTACTTGACATTTATCTTTGCAAACTGGAGTTAAGAAAAACCTCTCAAATTGCCTTGGTTCGGGCTATGGTTAATTTCAGGAACAGAAATTAGGAACAGGTTGTATATACTGCCACTCTGAATGTGCTGTTTGAATAATGGATCTAAATAAAGCTTTCTCTGTTTCACAGAAGAAGATATTCCCCCTCGGCTTCCCAAGAGGCCATATGTGCAGCCAACACGTCTTTTTATCCCTAGTGGTTCTGTCACAAATGTGCTTAGAGATGTTATAACCTTGCGTCCAGTTGTTTCACAGTTTCACAATTTTATGAAAGGCCTGCAGTTGAACAACAAATACTTAGAGAATAACAGGTTTTCTACCTGGAAAGGTAATACAGTCAACATTTCTTTATCTCTTCAGCTTTCTCTTTCTGTTCATACTGGTTATTTCTCATGATATTTTGTCACAACAATATATAGCACTGGGTGATTGTAGAGAGCAGAGCTGTGCAAAAAGAAATTATAAGTGGAATAACTTAAAAAAGCTTGACTGTATTGTTTGACAGTCTTCTTCCTTGCTTAATGTGTTACCCTTTTTCCTTTGCTTTCTTTTTTCCTGTTGAAAAAAATCTTAATTCATATGTTGACCAATAAGACATGTGAACAATCCATTGCTGGAAATCCCATACCTGAAAAATCCATAATTCTTGATACTAGATTCCAAATTTCAGAAATACAGCCAATGTATAACAAATACAAATGCAATCAATACAAAGCATGAAGCAATACTAACTAATACTGTATTAACAGTATTACTTACACTTAGAAATTGTAACTCTAAAATTAACATAACCAATTCAAATCAATCCTGGTAGGGCTTATAAAACTTATAGGTAAAGTCTTATAGGTAAAAAAAAAAAGAAAAACCAAAATTTTGTTAATAGCAAATTGAGTATATTTGGTTATCTGGGATTAGCTGGGTCACTCAGCAATTTTAAAATAAAGGCTGATTTATCTTAGTTGCAATAAAAATTGACATGTAAAATTGTCTCAGTCTTGCCTGATTTGCATGGTGTAACAACTGGGGGATTGGGATAGTATATGCGCTCTCTAGAAATGCCAGCAGGAGAGCATTCAAGTGACTTCTAAAAATGCCCATAAAAGGAAACATTTCTGGGATTCCTTCAGTTAAAAAAAGGGTGAAAGATTTATATGATCTGAAGAGAAACCAGAGTTTGATAAATTTCTAAAATTTAATTTAGTTTGTTCTGAAATTCTATGTCTGAAATCCTCTCCTTGATAATATATTTAGCCTTTTCAAATCCTAAGAAAAATAGATGTTTGAACAAGAGGCTATAGTAGAGCAGATTTATTATGCGGTTCTACCACTTTAACCTTTAATACTCAAGTGATGAAAACAACCCAACTGCTAATCTTTATACAAGTAAATAAAAGGACTAGCCAAACTCTAACTTTGATTCTGAATAGACTGGTCTTTAGTCTCAAATCTTCATTAGGGCCACATCTAGGCTTCAATAAAAGAGATCTTTAAAAATGTGATTGTATTTTTTGAAGAACCCCAAGTTGGACTAGGGGCACCCCATATAAAAATTATGTGACTGATTTTGCAGATAATTTGATGGCAGCTGGAATAAAATATTCTCTTTGCATCTAATGACATCTTAAAATTGCTGTAGCTCATACACATGTGTAAATTGCTTGGTCTTGATCATTTCAATGCCCATTAAAAATTAATCTTAACAATTACAATGACAGTAATATATTACACTACTTACTAAAATCCTGTGTGGTCAGTCATTTTTCTATGTGGTTTCTTCAATTGTTGTCTCTCATTCTTGCACTCAGAATAAATTAAGCAGTTCATAGTGAGTATATTATTCTGATGATCAGTTTTTCCAGAAACTACTGTTAGTTGTTATAGTTGTTTTTTCCATGTCCAATGATGAAGAAAGGCAAAATGTGAGGAAGGAAAAGGCATGGATTTTGTCTGGGGAATTATCTTACAATTGCATTGCTTCATTGGTTATGGGAAGATGTCATTAATTTATCATTTCTCACATTGCCATCCCTGCAATAACACTTTTCTGGATCAAGTAATTAGACTATTGTATGAATGAGAGCTATATAAAGATTGCTGAACTTGTGTTGAGGGTCATATTTGATGCTTTGAAGATTTCCAGTTTCCATCCAAGTGATGCTGGAGATAGTCCATCCTAATTTGTTTGTGGTTCTGAAATATAGTTTATTAACACATACTTCTAAGAGTGTGTATTCCCTTCTTTTAATTTTTAACTGACAGGTTGCAGTGCAGACAGACTGCTCTTTCCCAGGTAGCTGATTGTTCTAATTTCTCAGGTTTAAGATTAAAGCTATGGAAGAAGTCACCTCCTCTAGATGACAGGTGGTCCTACTCCAATTCATGTCAGAGAAGTGGAAGAAGGGCTTTTTATGTAAGGACTGAGAGAGAGATGATATTTCTCTCCCAAAGACCAAACTTGATACTTCCCAGTCACCCCTTCTGACAAAACGGACTATAGTATATCACAAGCTAGATTTCAGTCTTTAGTTGTAGTAATCTTAATCTGTATTTTAAGTTTTTGACTAAAGAAATCACTTGCTCAGACCACTTTTCCCAGATCCTTTAACAAACAAACAAACAAATCAGCCAATAAATAAATAAATAGATAATAAACCAGTAAGTCACTGTCTATCAGTCCAACCCACTTCAGGGGACTACTGTGTGGATAGAACCAGGCTAGGAACCCTGTATGGTGCTCTGAGCAATTTGGAGGAAAAGTGGGAATACAAATGTAATACAATCAAGACTAATTCTAGGATTATTTGCATTCTCTTTGCTTTCATTATTTATAAACCTCCATTACAACAGGGATTGAAAACCTGTGGATCCCCAAATGTTGTTGGAAGCCCTAACAGCATGGCTAATAGTCAAGGATGATTTAAAAAAAAAAAAAAAACAGGCCAAGAGAACCAGAGATTACTTTAAAATACTGGGTATGTAAATATGCATGTTGTCTTTCAGATACTGTACTAGATTCTAGCGCCAATCAACTGACCATGTCTGAAGAACATTTGGAACTTGTAGACACAGCTTTCTTTATCAATACCAGCTGCCCACCTCTTTTAAGGCCAGAAAGACAAGTGGACATTATTATACATTTAAATTACAGTGGAGGATCACAGACATTGGTGAGAAGCTTCTTTATTGTCTTTAGCCATGTTTTTACTTCTAAATATCAAGAGAAGGTTATTTGAAAAACCTTGAAAAGCTTATTCATCCTTATTTAAAAATTTGGCACTGAAAGTGGTTCAACCTAATTTGAGTTTAATTTGTAAGAGGTGCTCCTTCCCTCTCTTGGGCAAACATTACTGCGTCTTCCTTCCTTATTGCTGTCTTACGAAACAGTAATGCTAGAAAGTACTTCTGCCAGGTATGACCTATGGCCTATGGTATTCCTGACAGTTGCATGTCCATAGTTTCTTTAGAACTTCTAACCTATGTGAAATGAAAGCTGTATTTATATATCTTGGGTCCTGATTCCTCTTGTGTTTGATACTTTAGCCACTGGACTTAAGCACAACGTACTATCAGGAGCAGGGCATCCCATACCCTAAGACTGTTATCACAGAAGAAGACAGGAAGCATCTCAAGGAATGTTATACCTTTGATGATGCAGAGAGTCCAAAGGCTCCTATACTGCTGTATTTCCCACTTGTATGTGACACCTTCCAAAAATACAAAGCACCTGGTAAGTTAAGAAGGCTACTTGAGGACCACTTTGCTTTCCTATCTGCTGATCTTAATTCCTATATGTGTTTCTTATTTATGTATATCCTGAGGGAATTGACAGTAATTTTAAAACAATGGTATAAAAAGAAAATAAAGACCAGTAGTAATGAGAGTTTCTTGCTGGAAAAATACAATATAGAAAGGGTGAATCTTTAGCAAATTCTAAAACTTAACAACATTAGGGCCTAGTGTTTCACGGAAGATATGTCAGTCTATAGTGTATATACCAATCTCCACAATATCTCAATTTAACTGACAGGAACTTACCTGAGGATCTCAATGTCTCAGGCCAAGGATGGTTGGTATAAGTGGAGGTGGTCTTTGAAGCAATCTGATCCCAAGTTGTTTGGAATTATTGTATCTACTAATGTCAGTAGCTTGACTATGGCTTGGTAGCATAAGGGAAATATATAAGCAGGAAAGCATTCTGCACTAGTTATAGCTTCCCAATTAGTTCCAAAGGAAATCCCACATAGAGTATACTCCATTAAGTTTAAATACATAAACCTTAATGTCCAAGACATCTCTCTCCAGGAACAGTGTTGCTAGCTTGCCAACCTAACATGGTAATAAACGCTTATAGCTACAGAGTTTCCTGAGCTTCCAAAAACAATGATGGATTCAGGAGCATTCCTATACTGTGGACTTATTCCTTTGTTGGATGTACAGTCCCTTCTGGGACATTCTTCTAATTCCCAGGGACTGGAACCACTTATCTACAATAATTCCACCTTATCAGGATTCTGTATTTTGGCCTCATCCAGTACACTTGATTATCAGTAGGATTCACGCTTGGATATGGGACTGGGATGGCATTGGTTGCACCAACTGATTACCTTTTGTAGGATCTGGATGGGGTAGTGCACCTCTGTTGGTCCTTTTAAGCCAGAGGCATTTGATATCACTGATCATGGTATCTTCCTGAAATGCCTGCTGGAGTTGGGGATTGGAAGCCTTATTCTGCTGTGGTTCTACTCCTTCCTTAGAGGGCGGTTCCAGTCTGTAGTGATGGGGGAGGAGAAGCAATAGGGGTTAATCCTCTTCCCCTTACCTTTTAACATCTATATGGAACCTCTGGGAGAGATCATCTGACAGTTCAGAGTGTGGCATAATCAGTTTGCTGATGATACCCAGCCATACATTGCCGCTCTGAGCTGTAAGAGGAATGCTGTTAATGTCTTATCATAGTGCCTGAAGGTTATAAAGGTTTGGATGGGAAAGAAAAAGCTGAAGTGTAAGATGGAGGTACTGTTTGTACATTGAGGTTCTCTATTGACACCGGTGTTGTCTCTGGATGAGCAAGTACTACCAGTGAAGGAGCAGTTTATGATCTTGGGGTCCTTCTGGACTCACAGCTTCTGGTTGAACTGCAGATAGATACCTTGGCTAGAAGGACCTTTGTGTAGTTTTGGCTGGTGTGCCAATTGTGGCCTTACCTGATGCAAGGCAACCTGGCTACAGTAACTCATGTCCTCATTACTACTTGGTTAGACTACTGCAATTCACTCTACATGGGGCTGCCTTTAAAGCCTAATCAGAAACTAGAAGTGAAAGGACCTAAAAGCAGGATGCGCTGCTTTTCAGTGGCAGTGACACCCATCTGGAATAGTCTCCCAGTAAAGATCAGAATGGCTCCCTCCTTGATAGCATTCATTATTTTATTTTGCTTTCAATTGTTTACTGCAGTATTTCTCAACCTCAGCCATCAGCCGAGGAATTCTAGGAGTTGAAGTCCACATATCTTGAAGTTGCTGATGTCGAGAAACATTGGTTTACCATATTTTAAGACTTACTATGGATATTTTAATGTTACTATATCATGTAAGTCACTGAGAGTCCCTTGAATTGTGGCAGGATAGAGATGGAATGGATAAATAAATAAATTATGGCTTCATAAAACGTTCTATGAAACGTTGAACAATTGCCTGAATGTATTATGCCAGTCGTGTTCAAGGATTATATAGACTAAAAAATATATGAGTAGTATTATTTCTCTACAACAGGTCTCTCTCCCGTAGTTTTAAATGAATAAAGTCCTTTACTGCTTCATCTATAATGAGGCTGTACATGATTGAGAATAATACATAATTAACACTTAACCTAAATAACTTTCTCCCACCATCTCGATTATCTTAAGTTTTAATTCCTGTGTCATTAGTTCTGTCTTTCAAATGCTGATAAAGAGATACAATATAATCATGATTTCAACTATGAGAATTTCATGTTACTTACCCATAAGCATCCTTTATTCCTCACTGCAAGCATCTGAACAACCAGTATGGAACTATTTAAAAGGCAGATGCTCCATTCTCCTCCTCCTTGACTGCTGTTACTAGTGAAGCTTGTATTATATATTGATGCAACATCCCTTTCTTCTAAGCTTATTTTCAATGCTTCATAAAGTGAACAGTTTTAGATCACTGCAGTGGCTATATTAAAATAAAATCTGCTTGCTGTACTCCTTTCCTCTTTTTGTTTCTGCAGGTGTGGAACGTGGTCCAAGTGAGATGGAGGATGGCCATGTTGATGTCACCAGCACTGTTTTTTCTCCATATGCTACTGGCATGGTGCAATACTCAGAGGAGAACTTCAACAAGCTGCTAAATTTGACCACCTATAACATTCTGAATAATGAACATTCGATTCTTCAGGCTTTACGGACAGTAATCGAAAGGAAGAAGCAGCAGAAGTCTTTCTGTTCCTCTTTTTAACCCACTCCAATGTCTTTCCCATTCTTTGTAACCTGGGAAGCTAACAGGTTTGGTTCATTTGTGCCATTGGCCAGTATTATATACATGGGAAATAGGGTAGGCATCAGATTTACAAAAATCAAATTGGAATATTGAAACAGATTTTAGAGCTGTCTGAATTTAAGCAGGGCTTACTGAAATGAATTCAAACCAATTGTTGTGGTCAATACATTTATTTGTTATGTTCCCCCCCACCTTCATTTGGGGCTAACATCAGAAGTGCTTTATCGTAATTCATATGCAAAAAAAGAGGAAACAGGTATATTGTGAGATAGTGCTCAGAGATTATGTATTCAAAACTTGCTTTGCAAGATAGATATTAGAGTAAGAGTTTAGGTTCTAGTCCAGCAGATTATAAACTTTACAAAAGTACAGTTATTAAATGGCAAGGGCTCTGAATTTCAAGTTTTGGGCTTAGTTTATGAATTTGAAGATGACTGTATCAAGTGAAGATATGCATTTATGTATCAGATGTTCATGTATGTATAAGATGTGCATCACAAACCAAACAGAGACTTCAAAAATGAGAGGGAACCAGAATAATGATTTTTGCAATTTTTTGGTACCTGAATTGCAGCTGTGAATTTCTGATATTTTTATTTCCATCCCTGCCCAGGATTGGCTGGAATTGTTATGGGGGAGGGGTCATCCTGCCCAAAATACCCACCACAGGAAATCCTGGTTTTTCCAACAACTTTTGAGAAGGCTGAATAGCCCAGGAGAGCTTGGAATGTGCTGTGAGTCATAGTGTGATGGACAGTGTTTCTCAGCTGCCTGGTGTGCTCTGCTTCCAGTCACTGCAAGAACTGCAAAATCAGTCCAAGCCCTGCTAATTCCCCCTAGGTGCTTCCCTTAGCCTGTGTTGCAAGGTGAAACTTGTCTATTTCAGTGATACAGGTAGTCCTCGACTTATGACCATAACTGGACCGGAATTTCCATTACTAAGTGATGTGGTCTTTATTGAGTCACGCCCAATTTTATGACATTTTTTGCTGTGGTTGTTAAGCAAATCATGGTTGTTAAGTGAATCATGTGATCGTTAAGCAAATCCAGCTTCCTTTATTAACTTTGCTTGTCAGAAGCCCCCTGGGAAGGGTGCAAATGGTGATCATGTGACCCAGGACACTGCAACCATTGTAAATATATGCCAGTTGATAAGTGCCCAAATTTTGATCACATAACTGCAGGGATGCTGCGATGGTCGTAAGTATGAGGACTGGTTGTAAGTCACTATTTTCAGTGATGTCATAACTTTGAATGGTCATTAAATTAATGGTCATATGTCGAGGACTACCTGTACCGTTCACCTGCTGTGAATGAGATATAGCCATGCTTTGCAAGAAAAGCACCAGGGCTCCATTTCTAACAGCCAGCAACCTCTGAAGAGGTGGGAAACTCTCAGGACTCTGCAAGTGCACCTCTAGGCCACTGTTTCTCAACTTTGGCAATTTTAAGGTGTGTGGATGTGCTGGCTGGGAATTCTGGGAGTTCAAGTCCACATCTCTTAAAGAGAGAAACAGTGCTGTAGGTACTACTGATACTTGGCAAAGGTGTGCACCATTACAGCATCCTCTTCCTTTCAGCCCTTTTAAATCTCTCCAGTCTTCACTTGGCTCATTTTTATTCTTGTTATTGTTATTTTGTTCAGGTAGTTTACTTGATTCAGATCAGGCATCAGAAAGATAAAAAGATAGGAAGCTCAACAGGGCTACAATATGGGGCATGCCCAGCACCTAAGTCCAACCTCAAAAAGTGTGTTTGTGGGGACAGGTGTGTTGGACAAGGTGGAACTGCCACTTGTGGCCTCTGTGAAGCTTTCTGATAGCCATGACTGGATTCACACAGAGGCTGATTGGTGGCATCTGTGCTAGCAATATCAGGGTAACGAGAGGTGGATTTGGCAGCAGCTGTTCAACTGAGAAGCTGTCAGGACCTGTATCAACCAACAATTGTGAATTTACAAAGCATAGCAGTCAATGGGAGTTCGTTTGATTTGCTTCTGCCAGTTGTGACTGGGGAGGGGGGCTAGTAGTTAAGGGTTGTAATAGGAGTAGTCACAGGAGATGGTGAGGAGCTTAACCTTATATGGGCAATGAGGCCGGGTCGGATTGCAGGCAAGGCCAGTGGGGGCCTGATGGCCAGGAAGGAGCTATGCATCCCTGGGAGGAAAGGAAGAGGTCACCACCAGGTGAAGAGGAATTGAGGCGCCAGGGTAATTAGGGGAGGGGGGATAAATAGAGGGAACTTTTTCAAGGCTTTAGTTTTAGCAATGTTTTGTTCAAAACGACATGTACCACAAAATAAAGGAGCATTTTCTGAACCAGGCCTAGTTGCATGAGAATTCTTTGGGATTGGGGCGTGGACATTGTGGACTTGACAGAAGCACTTAGCTGCTATGAGACAGGAGCCAGAAAGTGAGAGGAAGAATGTGCAGTAACGAGAAGCTCTCCTGTCACATGATGGACAGAGTGACCAGGAATACAAGGAGTGGGAATGGCCAGAATATGTAGCTGAAAGTACTGGCCAAGGAATAGCAGAAGACGTGGAATTGTCTGGGGTTTGGGTAGATGTTAGTGAGCAGAATATTGGAGCACATTTGTGTGTGGTGATCAAGAACCTTCTTTTTCCAGAGTACACTTTGTTTTCAAAACAGTTTAAATGTTCCATTCAACCTCTTTTTAAATCCTGAACAGTGTTTGATTTTCAAAAGCTGCTGAAGTGGTCAAATCAGGGGCCTGTCTGATTTTCAGAATAGCTTCCTGTCTCAGTTTGGGTGCCAGCAATTCAATTATAATGACCTTCATGGTTTGGGGCTACAGAATCTGAAGGAAGACCTACTTATCCAAAGAGAAACGTCTGTGTAGTGCCCAGTGCTGTAGTTCAGTGAGTGATTTCCTGGGAGTAGGCATTGCAAGATTAACCCATCCCAGTTAGATATTCCTGGCACTGACTTTATTCTATTTTCAACGCCAGGCAAAGACATGTTATCCTCCCAGCACTTTTAATTAATTAATGTATAAACCTCAACCCCTTCATGGATCACTGCCTTGTCGTGGCGAAGGGGCTTGCGTAACTCAGTGAA